AAGCCACCCAGTCGCGGGGCAGCAGCTGCCGCGGTTGGGGCAGGGACCCCGAGAAGGGGTGGAACGGCGCAACGATCCGCCAGGAGGGGGCGGGGTACAAATACCCGTGACGTCGAAAGGAGAGAATTTGTCAGGAGGGGGCGGGGTACAAATACCCGTGACGTCGGAGAGAGAACATCCGCCAGGAGGAGGCGGGGTAGAAATATCCGTCACAATGAGGAGGGTTCGGCAGGCTGCTGCCGAACAAAAAGGGTGAACGCGGCTGGAACGAGCCAGCCGAACATGGAGCAATGGAGCGACGAACAGCTCCGACGGTGGCAGCAAGAGGACGCCACCATCAAGCTGGTGAGCAGCTTGAAAAAGGACCATGTTGCCAGGCCACGGTATGACGCGCTGGCAGGGGCATCGTGGGAGGGAAAGTCATATTGGAGTCTCTGGGATCGGCTTGAGCTTCGACGAGGACTCCTCTACCGGCGATGGATGCCCGAGAATAGACCCAGTACCACCGTGTTGCAGCTGGTGGCGCCACCTGTGATCAGGCGTGCAATCATGGAGATGTTGCACGGAGGACGTACGGCAGGACACCTTGGAATACGCAAAACCCTAGAGAGGGTGCGTCAAAGGTTTACTTGGCCGGGCATGCGGAGAGACATCCACCGATGGTGTCGCAGGTGTGATGCATGCGCGAAACGAAAGGGGAAGAGGCATAGGCGAGCTGGATTGCAGCAGCAGACAGTGGGGGCCCCGTGGGAACGCATGGCCCTAGATTATTTAGGACCGCTGCCTACCACCGAGCGCGGGAATAAATATATCTTGGTCGCCAGTGACTACTTTACCAAGTGGACAGAGGCGTTCGCATTGCCGACCATGACGGCGCTGCGAACGGCTGACTGTTTGGTCACTGAGCTGTTCGCACGGTTCGGAGTGCCGCGACGATTGCACTCGGATCAAGGGACCAACTTTGAATCGCATCTTTTTGCCACCGTGTGCGAGGCATTGGGCATTGATAAGACGCGCACAACGCCTTATCACCCCCAATCCGATGGACAAGTAGAACGTTTTAATAGGACGGTGCAGGATATGCTGGGAAAAGTGGTAAACCAGCAGCGAAATGACTGGGATGATCACCTGCCCTTTGTCATGGCGGCATATCGAGGGACCGTTCATGAAAGCACGGGGTGCAGTCCGAATCTGCTACTGTTCGGCCGAGAGGTTGGTATGGCGGCTGACCTGCTGATGGAAGCGGCGCCTGAAACTGACGAGCCGACATGCCCCGTCGAGTATGTGGAATGGCTGCGCACAGCCACGAGAGAGGCGCACGAGTACGCCCGACAGCAGCTCGGCCGGTCCGCCTTGCGACAGAAGAAGGCGTATGACAGCCGGGTGGTGTTTTCGGCGGTACCTGCCGATACATGGGTATGGTATTGGTACCCACCTGCCGACCGGAAGCTGGGGTGTCCCTGGACGGGGCCCTACTTAGTCGTCAGGGCACAGGGCAAGCTTCGGTGGATCCAACGAGCAGAGGGTGCGCCGATAAGAATCGTAGTGGTGGATGAATTGAAGCCCTACGAGGGGGAGAACCCGCCGCCGAGATGGGCAACGGCGGACGGCAGAAACGAAGACGAATCCGCTGATAGGGAGCGGAGTATAAATACCCAGTCGACAGACGAGGAACTGTCTGACAAATCCGCTGATAGGGAGCGGGGTATAAATACCCAGTCGACAGACGAGGAACTGTCTGACGAATCCGCCATAGCGGGGCGGGGTAGAAATACCGAGATCGTCGAGGGAAGCGGAGGAAATGGATCCGCCAGTCCTAGGCAAGGCAGACCGGGCTACGAAGACGATGAGCAAGAGGACGCGGTGGAGACATCCTTCATCATTGAAGAGGTAGAGGTCCCCGCTGGGCCTAAGATGCCCACGAGCAGTGAACTCGTGCCCGAAGCATTGGCCACAGAGATTGTCACGGAGGAGCAGGAGGAAGAAATGGTGACAGAATCTGTTGTCGAGATAGGAGAAGATGAGGCGGAGGTGACCGCCGAACTGGATGCAGAAGAGAAGGTTGAGCGCGTGGAAGACGCGACAGTGACGGAAACCATCGGAGAAGGAATGAGAGGCGAGGCGGCTGCTAAGCCGAATCAAACGCGCAGTCATGCGTCTCGCCCCGCGATGGAAACCACGTACAAAAAGGAGGGGATAGCCCTGATGCCCTCGGGGATCACCACGCGTGGTCACCGAGTGATCAGGCCTCCCACGTACTTTGGTTTCCCTCTCAAAAAGGGAGCTGTGGGCATGGTCTGGAACGCCACACTCAGGTGGGTGTGCGGGGAGGAGTAAGAGCCAAGAAACGAGAAGAGACAAAGGATCGCCAACAAACCTACGTAAAGACAAGCTTCCGTCTGAGTAGGGGGGAAGAAGGCGAATAGGCAGACTGAAGAAAAAGAACTGATAAGCGGCCAAACGAAAACGAGGCTACAATGCGTAACAAACATCGAGAGGCGATGTGTGCGAACGAGGCTGCAGAAGAAGAATGATTCTGTCAGCGAGCGCAGACGTCGATCTCCGAGAGGTAATATAGAAGGGGCTAAGAAGAGAAACAAGAACGTTCCGGAGTAAGGAGCGACACCGTAAGATAGGCGAATCAGCCATCCGCAGACTGAAAACTCATGGACGAATGAAATAACGAGCAAGGCTCAGCTTCAAAGGCTGGATACGTGAGGAGCGTGGATGCTTGAGCGCATTACACGAGAGATCGGGTCTGGGACCCGCGAACATGATTAATAAGGCAGACAGCGAGCCGTCACAAACTAATGAGACTCCTCACACCAGCATTAGAGGCACCGGAAGGTCCCACAACCCTTTCCGGGCGGGAGTGGATCGCGACCAACCCGGGCAATTCATAATCGGATTGCCAGCTAAGCCATTCGACCAAATAGCGAAGGAAGTGCCATGAGAACTAAGTCGACGAGATGAGTCCTCCTATGACGAAGAGGTCGTCCGAGATAGAGAGGAAACTGTCTGCGTAACCCTATGCAAGATCATCTGCATGGCTATAAAGTGGAGTCGGCAGCCTTCGAGCAGTAAAAGGGATATAGCAGACTAGGGAGACGCCAATACATCCGGTGGCCGACGTGCCGAGCAGCCGCTGAGGCCAGCTGATCGCGTAACTGAAAAGTTGCGCGAGCGGCAGGCGGTATACACCGCGCCCGCGCGTCCGCGGCGCAGCGATGGTGTGCCGCGCGGCCGTGATGTGCGCGCGGCCGTGCGGCGGTGATATGCACCGCGCGCGCGCGTCGCCCGCGCGCGTCGCCCGCGCGGCGGTGATATGCGGCGGGGATAGAGATCCGCGTCGCGCGGCAGTGTATAAAAATATTACACCACGGGGCGCCCGTGCGGCGGGGATAGAGATCCGCGTCGCGCGGCAGGGTATAAAAATATTTACCCAAACGCGGGCCTTCAAAAATTTGGAATTTCGAGGTCGATGCTGACGACCGTGGGAAGTTTCCACACCATTCATCGCGGCCAGCTCTGCTTAAGTACAGGAGTCTACGGTGCACGCGCTGCACGGCGTGCGGGGTCAGTGACCTCGCCGAGCACCTTATCAGCAGTCTGGTGGGGAGGCATTGCGAGTAACATTTGACGTCGCTAACTACTGGTATCGACGAAAGACAGATATGGACAAGGAGATGAAACGACGGCTGAAGGATCTAGATGGGAGAGAGACTGAACTACCGCGAACCCTCGACTTACAGCGGGAAGAAGGACGAGGAGATCAGACGACGACTGAAGGATCTGGACGGAGGAGAAAAGTAACTGCCAGTACGCAGGCGAAATAAGTCCTCACTCTCTCACGCGAGCATACCAGCGGAAAATAAGTCTACTCACTCTTCTCACGCGTGCAGTAAGGCGAAGAAGTCTCTCATCTCACACGCGTGCAGCACCAGGCGAAATAAGTCCTCATCTCTCACGCGTGCGGCGGAAATAAGTCACTCACTCTCTCACGCGTGGCAGGCAGGCGCAGGCGAAATAAGTCCCTCACTCTCTCACGCGTGCAGTACCAGGCGAAATAAGTCCCTCACTCTCTCACGCGCGCAGTACCAGGCGAAATAAGCCCTCACTCTCTCACGCGCGCAGTACAGGTGAAATAAGTCCGGCATTCTCACGCGTGCAGAACTCGGCGAAGATAAGTCCTCACTCTCTCACGGTGGCAGTACCGCGAAATAAGTAACACATCTCTCACGCGTGCAGTAAGCAGGTTGAAAATAAGTCCCTTCACTCTCTCACGCGCGAGTACAGGCGAAATAAGTCAACACACTATCTCCGCGTGTGCAGTACGAGAGATGAAATTAAGTACTCACTCTCTCACGGCGCGCAGTACAGCGAAATAAGTCCCTCATCTCTCACGCGTGCAGTACCAGGCGAAAAGTAAGTGCAACAGGCTCTCTCACGCGGCAGTACAGGTTGAAATAATCCTACGTCTCTCACGCGCGGTGCAGTACCAGGCGAAATTTTAGTCGTCACCTCCTCACGCGCGGCGTTATCAGGTCATCAGTCCGCTCATCTCTCACGAGTGCAAGTCACCAGGTGAAATTAAGCTCTCACTCTCTCACGGTGCAGTAGAGGTGTAAAATAATCCATCACTCTCTCACGCGTGCAGTACGCAGGTAAATAAGCGGTACACCTCTCACCGCGCGCAGTACCAGGCGAAAATAAGTCCTGCACATCTCTCACGCGTGCAAGTACAGGCAATAAGTCGCTCACTCTCTCACGCGTGCAGTACCAGTGCGAATAAGTCCCTCATCTCAGTCACCGTGCAGCACCAGGCGAATAAGTCCTCATTGCTCTCACGTGCAGTTACAGGCGAAATAAGCCTCACTTTCTCACACCGTGCAGTCAGCGAAAATAAGTCGCTCCTCTCTCAGCGCGAGCAGTACAGGCGAAATAAGTCAACTCACCTCTCAGCGTGCAGTAAGGAATAAGTCCTCACTTCAACGCGTGCAGGCGAAATAAGTCACTCACTCTGCTCAGGTGCAGCACCAGGTGAAATAAGTCCTCATCTTCCCGCGTGAGTACAGGCGAATAAAGTCCCTCACTCTCAACACGGCGCTAGCACCAGGACGAAATAAGTCCCTCACTCTCTCACGCGTGCAGGCGAAATAAGTCACTCACTCTCTCACGCGTGCAGTACCAGGTGAAATAAGTCCCTCACTCTCTCACGCGTGCAGTACAGCGAATAAGCCCTCACTCTCACACGCGCGGCAGCACAGGCGAAAATAAAGTCGTCTCTCTCTACGGCGCAGCAGTACCAGGTGAAATATATCCTCACTCTCTCACGCGTGCAGTACGCAGCGAAAGTAAGTCGCGCTCACTCTCTCACGCCTGGCAGTACCAGCGAAATAAGTCAGACCTCTCTCACCGTGCAGTAGCCCGGTGAAATAAGTCCCTCACTCTTGCACGCGCGCATACGTAGGCGATTAGTCACACACTCTCTCACGCGTGCAGTTACTGCAGGTGGAAATAAGTCGTGCACTCTCTCAAGCGCGCCGTCAGTACAGGGCGAAATAAGTCCCTGCACCTCTCACGGGTGCAGTAGCCAGGCGAAATATCACACTCTCTCACGCGTCAGTACCAGTGAAATAAGGTCCTCACCTCTCTCGCGCGTGCAGTACCAGGGAATAAGTCCTCACTCTCTCATCGCGCCGCAGTACAAGTGGTGAAATAGTCCCTCAATCTCTGCACGCGGCAGTAAAGTGTGAAATAAGTCCTACATCTCTCACGCGTGGCATTACCAGGCGAAATAAGTCGCCTCATCTCTCACGCAGTGCAGTCAGTGACATAAATCCTCACATCTCTCACCGCGCGCGGCAGTACCAGGCGAAATAAGTCCCTCTCCTCTCACGCCGCAGTACAGGCGAAATAAGTCCTTCACTCTCTCAGCGCGTGTGCAGCACCAGGCGAAATATAGTCGCAGTCACTTCTCACACGCGTGCAGTACAAGGCGAAATAAGTCCCTCATCCTCATCACGCGGTCGCAGTACGCTAGGTGAAATGAAGTCGCCTCACTCTCTACGCGTTGCAGCACAGGTTGAAATAAAGTCGACTCAGATCTCTCACGAGAGCAGTACACAGACGAAATAAGTCTCTACTCTCACGCGTGCAGGCAAACCTGCCCTAGGCACAGGCACTTGATCAATTGCTTACAGTCCCGCACACGCCGCCGTCTGCACATTTACACATATAAATATATAATTATATTCTATATATATTATATATATATTATTATATATATGATATAACTATATATATATATATATAGATAGATAGATAGATTAGATATAGAGAGAGCGTAGATAGTGGATAAAATATACCACTATGATATCTATGTGTGTAACAGTGAATGCGGCGTGCGTGTGCGTGACTGTAGATGAATGTGATCCAAGTGCCGCGTGGTCTAGTGGGTAACCTGTCTCAGTCCGTACAAGCTATCACTCGTGCAGCTTAGGATGTGTGGATGCAGCATGTGTTTCTAGTTTATGCGTTTAGAAATATAATTCACTTTCAAATTTGTCGTGTAGTAACTGAAGTAAGTCTTCCTTAGTAGTTTCTTGATCTATTGGTATGTAGCATGAAGGTGTAGCCATTTTTATTTGTGGCCGTACAAAGTTTTGATCTTTTTCGAGGACAAACAATTGTTCTTGGCTGTATTGGCTGTGAATTCTTCCGCAGATCTTTGAGAGTAAAAGTGACGTGTGCGTCGTGTGTGCGTATCATAGTTATACACAATATTTTAAAATAGAAGAGCGATGGTGTTAATTGATGTAATGTCGTTGGTTGTACATAGCAACTGTATTTTACCTTTGTATGTCTGGTGTGTATATTTAATATAATATTGAATATATAATGAGTATAATTAAATCATCGTTTATTCTAAATGAATGGAAGCTCATGGTTGCAATGTCAATACATGTGAACTTGCCTCCCTAATCAAAAACTTTATTGCACTTTAATGAAACGTCTTTAATAGATATTGACTAATAAGCAAGTGTATGGCACTAGTTTATATCAGTCTGCCCAAGGTTGAATGTTTAAAACCTATTCAACTATAACTATCACCTATCACTTCAAACTTCATCAGGTATCAACTTCGAGTTCAGTTAACTCCATGAAATTCAAGTATTGTCACACGCAAATTATCGCTGATCACAACTATCCTTTTTCGATTATGACCTTTGAATACATATAAGGACAAAAGACGGGTTTGAACATTTTCGTGCATTCTATAAAGGTAGACAAGTGTAAACAAGTACACAAAGCTGATTAATGTAATACATTATAAGTAGCCATTCTTCGCAATGAGCCGTATATCTAACATGTGTTATACACTTTAAATCAGCAAGCATATAGGGTAATCGGTTTGCGTTATCGCGCTATCATGTAAACCTGCTTATATTATTGTACTTATGATTGAAGTTAGTTGGTTAGTTTGGTTAGTTCTCATAACAAACAATTTTTGATTATATATATTTGAGTTATAGCAGTTTCATGGTTTCGTTGAACAATATGCGTAATAGACAGCGCCTTGTGTATTATATTATAACACGGAATAACAATATTTCCACATTACTTAAATAGATTAAAACTGCGTATTTCAATATAGATATATGCGGAATCCATCTATTCATCTCGCCTAGAACGCGACCACAAACTTCTAGACGCACGCATGGCCGAGATTTACCAGTTACTCTTTAGTTCTAACGCGGAGAACGAGCTTAATATGATCATCTAAACAACCTATTACGTGAATAGGAGGTAGGCAGCAAACATAAAGGCTAGATCTGGATAGTTATAATAGGGGGTACAGCTAGTAATAGTCTGATTGACGACGCCTGCCGCATGCTGGCTCGGAGCTATATTTGTACGTTTGTCGCTGCTCTAGACTCTCGCTTCCTCGTCTCTCTCTCTCTCTCTCTTCTCTCTCTCTCTCCTCTCCTTCTCTTCTCTCTCTCCCTCGTCTTTCTCTCTTTAGCGCCCTCTCTCTCTCTCCTCTTTTTCTCTCTTGCGCCTCTCTCTCTTCTGCTTTAGTGCGCGGTCTCTCTCTCTTTATCTTGCTGTATGCCTCTTCTGCTATTCTCTCTCACTACGCTGCTTTCTCGCTCTGTTCCGTCTTCGCCCGCTCTTTCTCGTGCTCTCTCTCTCTTCTCTTGCCCCGCTTTCTCTCTTTCTCTTCTAAATCTCACTTCTCCTCCTTTCTCTTCATTCTCCCATATTTTTACTCTCTCCTTGTCTTGCCTCTCTCCCTCTCTCTTTCTCTCTCTCTCTGTCTCTCTGCTCTCTCTTCATCTCTCTCTCTCCATCTCATCTCGTCTCTCTCGCTTCTCA